TATCCAAAGAGAAAAAAAAAATGTATTTGTATCTCTGTCTCACATCACATACAGAAATAACCTCCAGAAAGGTGGAAAATTTAAGTGCCAAATACAAGACTTTAAAACTTTTAGTAGGGGTCAGTCTTTCTGACTTTGGGGAAGGGAAAGATTTATCAAGGTGCAAAAAACAACAGCCATATAATAAAACATTGATAAATCTGATTACATTATAATTAGTATTTTTTGTTTGTTTGTTATCAAAGACATGTAAAGAGAGTGAAAAGATAAGCTACAAACTAGGAGAAAATATTTGCAACACCTGCAATTGACAAAGAATTAATATGGTGAATACATAAAGAATTTTTATATACTGATACTAAAATGACAAACTACTCAAAAATGGACTATTACACAAACATGCATTCTACAGAAGACTTTTTGTGGATTATCTGTTATGTATGATGAAATACAAATTAATTTTTTCAGATAAATCAAAATATTTAGACTAAAAAGTAAAAAGAAAAGATATATTGTATTTCCTTATTTGTACCCTTCATACTTGTATCTTCTTCCCTTAAAAATGAATGCTTTCCTTCAGAAATGGATTCTACCCTCCCACTGTGTGGTCACACATATGTAAGTGGAACTGATGTTCCAGAGTACTAGACTTTGCAAGGATAAATGTTTATGTTTGCTTGTGCTTGCATACCCTTATGCATTTACATTTATTCTGAATATATTAATCCAGCACCTTCTCTGCATCAGGCATTGCCCTAGACTCTGAGGAACGAAAAAGACAAAAAATTTCTGGAAGGAGATAGAAAATATTAAAAATCAGCAAGTAAATTATATGGTTATACTACATGGTGCTAAGTACCTGTGCATGGAAATAGAGCAGCAAGGAGAGATCAAATGATACCAGAATTGGTATGTGAGTGCAGTTTTCAGTTGGGTCATCAGGAAAAGCTATAATGAGAAAGCAATGGGGGTGAGTTATGCTTATGTCTGTGGGATGAGAATATCAAGCAGAATAAACAGCAAGTGAAAAGGCTCAGAGGTAGGAGCCTGGCTGACATGTCTGAGAAATAGCAAAGAGATCATTGTGACTGCAGTGGAGAGATAAGGGAGAAAGAGTAGAAGGAGATGATGTTAGAGAATGAGTGAGAGGAAGGCACAGGTCATGGAAGCACTTGTAAGCCCTTGTAAAGACTTTGGGTGCATATATATATATATATATATATATATACAATATATTTATAATTTTATATCCTCTTGATGAATTGACCCCTTTTTCATTATATAGTCACCTTCTTTGCCTCTTATTACAGTTTTTGACCTGAAGTCTCTTTTGTCTAAGTATAGTTACATCTGCAGTCTTTGGTTTCCAGTAGCATGGACCATCTTCTTTCATCCTCTTACTCTGAGCTGATATGTATTCTTAAAGCTGAGGTGAGGAAGCACACAGCTGGGTAGTTTTTTAAAAATCCATTCAGTCATTCTATGCCTTTTAATTTGAAAATTTAATCCATTTACATTTAAAGAAATTATTGATTGGTAAGGACTTATCAAGGCCAACATTTTTTTTTTTCCTGGAGTCCCCTTGTTTCTTTCCTCCTCTCTTTCTGTATTTATTTTTCTTTTCTTTTCTTTCTCTTTTTAAAATAGGTTCCACACCCAGCATGGAGCCCAGTGTGGGGCTTGAACTGAGATAAAGACCTGAGTTGAGCTTAAGAGTCAGACACTTAACTGACTGAGCCACACAGGGACCCCTCTTTCTGTATTTCTTTGTGAGTTAATGATTTTTCTTATCACCAGCGATTCTAGTCATGCTTTGTAAAAGCTAGAGGTAACTAATTCATTCTGAGAGTTTAAGACATTCCAGTTCCGTATGCTAAGTCATTATTCAGCCATTGGTCAAATTGTCTATTTGATTGAAAACATAAGAGAAAACCATAGGCACAACTCCTGGCTTTGTGTTTGTAGGTGGTTAATCTTCACTTACTGTACCATCGCCCTTAATTTGGTCTTTTAAAAATAATTCATCTAAACTTAAGAAAATAAATTATTTATTCAAAAACTATTTCATGAATGTACTACTGCACGCAGACATTCTTCTAATGCCAGGGACCCAGTGAAGACCGAGATCCCCGCTCTCAAGGAGGCTGCCATATAGTGGGAGAGGCAGAAACACAACGGAGTTTGGCAATAACATAAGATCAGAGATAAGATAGAACAGTGGTGGAGACGTACTGCCAAGGGAGCACAGAGGATGGCACAACTTAATTTTATCTAGAGGACTCAGGAAAACTTGTAGGAAGGGGAGAAGTTTATAGTAGGGAGCTGGGACGGTTATTCTGGGTAAAGGAAGCGGTATGTGGGGGTGTCAGAGACGATGGGGTATTTGGTCGAGCACATACACCTTTGTTGAGACTGTGGGTTTGGGAGCATGTGTGAGGGGTGGAAAGTGAGCTAAAAGGAAAAGCTGTGTTAGATCCTGAACAACCTTGCATAGGACGATAAGAAATTTGAAATAAATTCTGTAGACAATGGAAATTAGCAAAGAGGTTCTCAGTAGGGAAATAACATTAAATAACATTAAGGCATCAGAACAATTACTCTGGCAATACTGTGGGTAAAATAGGAAAGGGAGGAGAACCGATACTGGGAAAGCCAGTTGGTCTACTGCAGTGGTCCTAACAAGGGATGATGAGGGCCTGCCTAGAGCAGTTGGAAAGTTAAGAACCGGCCTACTAAAGAGCTGCTTAGGTGGTTTACTTAGTACGGCTTGGTTGAGGATGACATATGAGTGGGTAGCACTGAGTCGAAGATGACCCCAGTTTCTGTGTTTGGAAACTGGATAGAAAATAGTCTATTTCTCAATGTCGGGAACAAGAGGAGGAAAAGTATTCTGAGTGGAAAGATGTATTCAGATGTTAAGGACCAATGGTGTAGCCAGGTAGAGATAACTAAGAAGCCATGCTGAGGTCCAGAGTGAAGTCTGGCTGGAAAATTAAATGCCATTAATGAAAAATCTCTTAGAGGTTAGCCTATAATTTTCATGGAAGTATAGGAATTAATTTTTGTTTCCCTATAAGCCATGGCAAAACCTATTGGCGACACATATGTTGAATAAGAATATGAATCTCATGCACCCAGTGGCCATGGCAAACCTTTGAGCCACTTGTACAAACACATATTTAATAAATACGTGTTATAGAGACCTGTGAAAACAAAATCAGATAAAACAACAACAAGCTGAGTGCCGGGAAGATGTAGCTGATACGGTCAGACCCCAGTACGACACCGTGAGTCAAAACTACATTTGGGTGAGACTATGTGGTAACATGTAGCAAGAAATAAAAGAGGGTCGTGGGGCTCCTGGGGGCTCCATCGTTGAGTGTCTGCCTTCGGCTCAGGTGATGATCCCAGGGTCCTGGGATCGAGCCCGGCATCGGGCTCCCTGCTCAGTGGGAAGCCTGCTTCTCCCTCTCCCATTCCCCCTGCTTGTGTTCCCTCTCTCGCTGTGTCTCTCTCTGCCAAATAAATAAAATTAAAAAAAAAAGAGGACCACATGAGTTTGCCAAGTGATCCAACTTCTGACTATTGAACGGAAATGATTCAGTATATATTAATGAAAATTCATCTTAGAGTTGTGATCTACAGAACAGTGTTACAAGGGAACGGGTTAATGGGTATGCACGGGGAGTTGCTCAGACGAGAAACATGAAGGCTATGAAGAATACAGGCAGATATTTACACTGACGCTGAAACCGGATTTACAATTGTCACAAGTACGCAAACACGTGTCTACAAGAGAGACTGACTGCAAAAACATTTAAAAATGAAGACTGTGGGGCGCCTGAATGGCTCAGTGAGCCTCTGCCTTCGGCTCAGGTCACAATCCCAGGGTCCTGGGATCAAGCCCCACATCGGGCTCTCTGCTCGGCGGGGAGCCTGCCTCCCCCTCTCTATCTGCCTGCCTCTCTGCCTGCTTGTGATCTCTCTCTCTCTCTGTTGAATAAATAAATAAAATCTTTAAAAAAATTTAAAAAATGAAAACGGTCAGAATGATATGATTATAGGTAATTTTGTCTCCCTCTTTTTTTAAAATAAAGCTCATGTGAGGACAACTTGTCAAAGGCTTTTATTTTTATTTTATTTTTTAAAAAGATTTTATATTTATTCATGAGAGAGAGAGAGAGAGGGCATATGCACAAGAAGAGGGGAGGGTCAGAGGTAGATGGAGAAGCAGACTCCCCACTGATCAGGGAGCCTGATGTGGGGTTTGATCTCAGAACCCTGGGATCATGATCTGAGCCCTAACCAACTGAGCCACCCAGATGCCCCTCAAAGGTTTTTAAAAGGTACATACTAAGTTGCAATAAAGCAAACATGTGCATTAGACATGCTCCAAACACTTATTTAACTGTTTCTTCAGTATGGATATTGGGGGGGGGTAATAAGAAAATGGGAGTCACTTAAGTGAGATTTAAAAAGATTGCTGAGAAGCTCACAGTGGCAGCAGTGTCCCTGTACCCCCCCCAAAAAACCCCAGTTGATCTGGATGGCATGAGGGGGTCGTGAGCCATGGTGGTGGCATCCTCACGTCACAGCGGATGTGACATGGGACACATGGGGGAGCAGGACCACAGTGACCACCGCACCCCATTCCCTTACACTGTCCCCGGGGTGGGCCATGGTGTGATGTGGCCTTGGGGCCTGCCTGCAGTGGAAGATTTGAATTTCAGGTGGTGGGAGATGCGACAACCACGTTCCTTTGTGCTCGCATTTGGTTTTATTGACACCTTAACCACAGCAGCGGGGGCAAAGGCCACAAGGTGTGAGGTTGTGTGAGTGGAGGCAAAGGAACTTATGTTAGAGAAAAAATCCTCTCTACTGCACAGACTTTCCACGGCCCCACACCCACCCCGAGAGGCCCCTCTCGCCCAGGAAGTGTGCGGCCGCCGGACGCATAAAGGGGCTCCTGCGAGCGCCGCTCCTCAGCTTCTCCTCGCACAGCTCCGCACCGCTCAGCCATGAGACCTCTCCTCCTGGCCCTGCTTGGGATCTGCCTCCTCTGTGACTTCCTCGTGGAAGGTAAGCGGGAAGGTTCTGTCTGGGAGAGGCGTGCGGGCCGGCGGGCACACGTCCCAGCTTCGACTCAGGGTTTGACTGGGGTAAACAGCTTTCTCGGGTGAGTCTGCGACTGCCTGTGAGCAAAACGGGAATGAAAACTGAGGTCGGGGACTTTATGGATCCTGAGGACAGACAGAACTTGCTCACAATCTGGCTCCTACTTTTCATAATTACGTGATTTGGGGTAAATTTCTCAACCTCTCTGGACCTATACTTACTTAGAAGTTGAACATAATGACAGATACTCTCACCTGGGATTAAAATGAAAAAAAAAAACACCCAACAATTTAGGAATACTTATCGAATTTCCTCACTAATAATAATTTTTTTTAAGATTTTATTTATTCATTTGACAGAGACAGTGAGAGAGGGAACACAAGCAGGGGGAGTGGGAGAGGGAGAAGCAGGCTTCTCTCTGAGCAGGGAGCCCGATGCGGGACTCGATCCCAGGACCCTGAGATCCTGACCCGAGATGAAGGCAGACACTTAACAACTGAGCCACCCAGGCATCCCAGTGATAATTTCTTGATTGATGTGAGCTGTGGAATGGTGGTGATGATTATTTGTGCCCTTGTAGTTTTTGCCTATTTGATATCAATCTTGATAAATTCTCAAAGTTTTTGGAAGTTTAGTCACAATGTGGGGATGAGTTGGAGGTTGTATATTCTGAAGAGAATCAATAATTCTATTGAAAAGAATGATTGGGAGCTCATGCCTTCATACCCAGGAGATCAATATTAACTTCAAGTATACAGGAGAGTCTGTTATTACTGCTGTGAACATTGTTCCCATTAATGACAAACTTCTTTAATTTATAAGAGACCATATGTCAGGTGCTAACAAATAGACCAGTGGCTCATACACATTCAGAGCAACCTGCCAGGACACCCACCTGAGACAGCTCTGCTGAGCCTCAGCTGACTGTCCTACACGTATTGTCTTAAAGGATCATTTTTTTCCTCCAACTGATTGAAGTATAGTTCTCCTTGTGGCTCTGGCGATAAGAGAGAATATTTCTCAAGTGTAACTAGTGTTTCAGTTAACTCTCCCTTCAACCTCCTAGTTTATAGCCTTACTTCTTAGAATAGGATATCTGAATCTGGTCCTGGATCCCTAAGGGTGTCCATGAATAGAGGTGGCAGGTTTGGAATTCCCTGACATTGTTGGCAAAATAAGTACTGATGAAACCAACTTTAAGGCTAGTCAGTGAGGCCAAATATTGCAATGTGGCTGCCATTTTGCCGAGACAAAAAGTCTGCTGTTTGGTGGAAACTCAGGCATGGGTGGGGACAGCAACCCTCTGTTGGAGACACAGGAGGACTGCAGACATGTGGGTCACTTCCCAAGCTTCCTCCCTGAATGACCTCTGTATGTGCCCCTGGGGCTTAGCCTCTACGCACACCTGCAAAGCAATGTCTGCTCCGACTCTGCTCTGCAACGGTCGTGAAGGTGATGACCTCCCAGAGAACACTGTGGCTTGGGGCTTTGGAGTCTAGTGGGATTCTTTGGGTCCTGGAGTCCACGTTGGGTACTTCTCAGAGAAAATGAGATACAGAGAAGTTGGGTACTTCTCAGAGAAAAATATTGTTTCCTAAGTAATGAGAAAAATACAAGAAAAGATCCCTGTCTTTCACCGGGCTCGGAGACAGCTCAGCGTTAAACATAAATAGGCAAAGACAGGGGCAAAGGACGTGTGGATGGGTCACTGGGAACGCCGGAAAGCAGAGATGGCGAGGGGCGCAGCTAGCTGACAAACACCTTGTATGTAGTTTCATGTTTAAAAGAAGTCTGGTATTGGGACGCCTGGGTGGCTCAGTTGGTTAAGCGGCTGCCTTTGGCTCAGGTTGTGATCCCAGCGTCCTGGGATTGAGTCCCACATCAGGCTCCTTGCTGGGCAGGGAGCCTGCTTCTCCCTCTCCCTCTGCCTCTGCCTCTGACTGCCACTCTGTCTGCCTGTGCTCACTCTCTCTGACAAATAAATAAATAAAATCTTTAAAAAATAATTTAAAAAGTCTGGTATCAGCAACAGTGGAGATCAAACTTGGTCCTCATCAACTATTCCTTACATGCTTTTAGCATCATTTCCCTGAGAGAAAAATACCGTTTTACTTAGGAGAAAACCAGCACTTAGAAACCTTGATTACATTCCACCAAACCTCTAATATTATCAACTCTCCCAAGGTATTTGCCCTTCTCCAAGGCAAGACTGCTCTCTGAACTGAAGTCTAGAAATCCTCTGGGGGGGGGGGGTGGATTTCTATTGAGGATGGAGAGTTTGAGAACCACATCCTTCATGGAACTTACACCTTCACATTTACAACAGCATGTGCTTCTCCCCACATTTAATGTTGCCTTCCCCAAATCACTCTCCACCACATCACTCTCTGTTATTTTGTTCTTAGCACCGTAGCGTTCATGCTGTTTGAAAAGATCGTTTATGGTTTGTCTGCTCGGTTTTCTTTGCCAGGTGTGGGGAGTGAAGTCCTGGAAAAGAGCTTCTGTGTGAGTCTAACGACCAAGAGACTGCCCGTTAAAAACATCAAGACCTACACCATCAAGGAGGGCCCCATGAGAGCAGTAATGTGAGTTTGTGTCCCCAGAGCCTGGGCTGGATGAGACCCGGTGTGGAGAAACACTGCCCTCCTCAGGAAGCGGGCATGGGGGAGACCTCAAGGGGCCCAGCCGCCCCTTTGCTCTTCCAGTTAACCATGGCTTCCTGTAGCACCAAATGACAGTTACTGGAAAAATTTGACAATCGAATAAGGAGTGTTATCCTCCTTTCTGATTTGGTTTAGCAGAAGAATCTGACTGGGAAGGACGGCTATGGTGCTCAGTTCTGAGGGTTAGGGTTGGAGATGGCTGGTTTGGCTCAGGACTTGACCGTAGGGCCACACCGGTGTGGGATGCTTCTCTACCCTTCCTTCCCCTTCTCCTCCCTTCCTTTTCCTTAGGGTGTGCTAGAGTAAAGTACAGTGCCATGTTTTATCACTTACCATATCTCAAGGAAATGTGCGAAAAACTAGCCTCCCTAGTACCATTCTTTGTCCAGGATCTCATTTTCAGAATAGCAGTTCTTCCCAACACATAATTGCAATTTTACCCAAAGAAATTAAATAAAGAAATCACCTTTGTCCAGAAAACAAGATGAGTGTGTTCAGATGTGAAAAGGAAGGGAAATGTAATAACTGAACTAGATGACCTCCAAGGTCCAGTGTAGTTACAGCCGTTGGTAGCTTGGATGGACTAAGGTGTCTGAGAATTATGACAAACAAAGGAGCTGGGTATTTCCTGGACGTATTTCTCTTTTGTGTTCAAATAGAAAGGTTTTCATTTCTGGTGTCAAGGTTTGGAGAACAATTTCTGCACAAAATCTCTTGTCTCTGGTCTGATCTTAACTCCTGGTTCCAAGGCGTGGGGATGTGACTAACTCAGTCTTTTCCTTGCTTTGCAGCTTCATTACCAGACGTGGCTTTAAAATCTGTGCTGACCCACAAGCTGACTGGGTGAAAAAGGCAGTAGAGAGTGTGGACAAGTCTACCAGGAGAAACATGAAACAGACCAAGCCTACCGGAGCCCAATATTCCACCAACACAGCTATAACCCTGACCGCGTAGTGGCCTTCTGGCCGCTCACTTCACTAGCCAGCCAGCTCATTTCCTTTATAAATCTCCTGGACTAATTCGATTATATTCACTTTTTATAAAAGTGCTGCGTGAGCCCCCTTACTTTCTTGTATTGTTATTTTTCATGTCTTTCTCCACTTAGATGTTTCATTAATAAATATTTATTATTAAGAATAATCTCAAAGTCTATTCGCTACATATTGGGAAAGGTAACGTATCATTTATGTTCTGTCTCTCTCCTCACTGTACCTCCCTCTGATGGTATTCGTGACGGGAGAGATTCTGGCTGGTGTTTACGAGAGATGAAACCTGTTTAGTCATCATTCTTAGGTTCCAGCTTGCAAGTGAACATGGTGACAATGTGACAAGCGACAATTATGACAATGGCAACAATTTAAGATCCATTTCAACCTGTCTTCATAATAGAGTTCTATTTATGCAATAGGGGAGAAGGAAGCCAATGGTCATTGTGTTTCCATTCTGGGGGTCCCCACTGAAAAGGGGCTGCACTCATGTTTGATCTCTAGCAAATTCTCTTCCTTCTCTGTGTTTCTTTTCATTTCCTAAGAAAAGACACAGACACAGGGCTTGTCAGTTCTCTGATTTGTCAAGGTAGCAAACATTAGACTTTCAATGAAAAGGTATTTTATTCAAATAACAGGCAGTGTTCTTTGAAGGGAGCAATGACCTTGCTGCCTTTCTGTGACGTCTGTAATCGTCACGGCTTTATCTAGGTGTGCTTGTCTGTTGGTCCTCTCACCTCAAACCCTGTCCACCTGGGACTTTCTTGAATGTGATCACAGCTTGCGTTAAAGTTTTAGTCAAGTGATCATCTAGGCATTCAATAGCCCAGATGTATGTTCCGCTGTATTTTCATTAAATTGCCAATTTGATTCATGTTTGTGCCTATACTGTCCAAGTAGGCTGCGGTGCACACATCCGGTTCTGACTCTAACTAGTGAGGACTAACTGTGCCTCAATCATCTCGAGGGAAGAGCAAGTACTTACTACTCTGTGGTCACCAGTATCAAGTGCTTTCAGAGATGAACTGAGGGCACCTGGCTGGGGTCTGCTCACTGCGTCGCCGTGAGTGGAAGCATGAGAAAGCTGCTTCCTAGCAAAGGTGGGCCCATCTGTCCTCTCCCGCTTCTATTTGCCCACGATAATTTTCAAAGCTGGTCTTGAAGGAAAAACACTAAGAAGAAAATACTTGCTTTATGAGGGATGACACATGGCATAGTCATAGGAGAGGAAGGGAACGGATTCTGGACTGAGGTGTGTAACTGAGTTCCCAAATGTGTCCCAGACCCTAGAGGGTTCCATGAGATAATAATGATGTGACAAATGGAAGACTACGGGTATGCACATCTCGTTAACTCTAGGGCTGCTGTATGATGTCAAGGGATTTCAGCCAAGTGGTGTACGTAGCTTTTAACTAATTGACTGGATTTTTTGAATTTGTTTGTGTAGGACCTGAGTTTGCTAGCTGTCATCTGGTGGTTTTTTGGATTTTAATTCAATTTGAAGAAATAATGTAAGAAGAAGAGATCTCAGAATATTATTTTCTTTTTTTAGGGACTGCCACCAATCTTTGTGCTCTGATGACATCTTGTACTAACATTTACTCTAAAATGTATCAATTTGTACTGAAATTGCTCATTTGACTCTCTGTGTCCTCCCCTCCCCTTCCCCACAATTAGACTAGAAACTGCTCATATATACTATTCAGAGCCCAGGATAGAGCTGTAGGGCATCGTTAATATCTGTTGGATGAATGGAGGAAGAAGACATGTTCCCTTATTTCCTTCATCCTATGTTTACTCTTTTGCAGTTCTAAAATTATATTTAACTCAAAATAAACTAAAAAAAAAAAGATCTTTAGGGGCACCTGGGTGGCTTCATCATTAAGCCTCTGCCTTTGGCTCAGGTCATGATTCCAGGGTCCTGGGATCGAGCCCCACATCGGGCTCTCTGCTCAGCGGGGAGCCTACTTCTCCCTCTCCCTCTCCCCTGCTTGTGTTCCCTCTCTCGCTCTCTCTCTGTGTCATATAAATAAATAAAATCTTAAAAAATGATTTTATTTATTTATATGACACAGAGAGCGAGAGAGAGATGGAGAGAAGGGGAGAGTGGCAGGGGGAGAAGCAGGCTCCCTTCTGAGCAAAGAGTCTGATTTGGGGCTCAATTCCAGGACCCTGGGATCATGACCTGAGCCGAAGGCAGATGCTTAGCTGACTGAGCCACCCAGGAACCCTCAAAATAATTTTTTTTTTTTTAAAAAGATGTTCAGTTCAGCAAACATTTTGGGGTACTTTCTTCAGGGCAAGCACTGTGTTAAGCTCTGGATATATCGAGATAAGTAAAACACCATTTCTGCCCCACGGAACTCACAGTCTCGTGGATGGAACTATGCAGCACAGGGCTTAGAACAGGAAGTAATAAAAACACGTTCAGGAAACAGAGATGGCGAAAAGGGAGTGATTATCTTGGGAATGATCTGAAAGGATTTTTGATTTTTACATATAATTATGAATTATTACTCATTAAAAATGCCTGGAAGATTCACCTTTGGTTGGTTTGAGGAAAGACGTTGTTACCCGTTTGTCTCTGCACTAGGAAATTCCTGGCTGTGGTTATAATATTTGTGCAGTATTTTATGCTCCTCTAGGTATCTGGGGTAAGAGCACAGTGAGTCTAAAGCCGTCGCTGTAATTGAATTGCTGAGAAAAAGGAGCCGCGCCGAGACTGAATGTCTTGGCTAAGAGCGCGGAGTTCCCGAGAGACCGAGTCGACCTCAGACATCGACTTTCGTGCTATCCCAGCCTCGTGAGGACAGTGGGCTGCAGGTCTCCCTAGTGTGCGGGTGACAGAGGAGATCTCCGAGCATGGCCACAACCTAAGTCTCACAACTTTTAAGGTAAATTAGAAGTATTTGAAGACCAAAACTAGCACTTCCCGTTTCCTTTTTTCCTATGCAATTATTTTTAAAACGTTTTTAATTTGTCAAAATAACCCACGAACGTGGTCAAAAGTTTCAATACACAAAAGGACCACTACGGAAACCCACCGTCCCCTGCCCTGATCTTTCTCTTTCCCATCCTCCTCCTCCTAGACAGCTGCTTTCATCCATAAATGCTTAACGAGGCTCTGCTCTGTGCCGCAGACCGAGGTGTAGCCGGGGCAGAACAGAATCCCTCCTCTCACCAGCTTCCCTTGCGGTACAACGTGTCCTCTCCCTCCTTCTCCAGGATTCTCTCATCAACCCAATCCGCAGACGCTTGTGCCTAACGCGTTCCGTCCGGGTGCTTGGCCGGCACCGAGGGATGAGCCCATTACCCAGAAGGTTTCGGTCCATTCCAGGCAAGGAGACCAGCGGCCATGAAGATGCCTGCAGGCCAGGGAGGGGTTAAGGACCCACCGGGGGACAAAGCGAAGGTTAGAGAATAATGGGGGTGAGGAAAAGCGGGGCGGAGAGTTGGAGACTTTCCCCAGGACCTCTTCAGCGAGAGCAAGAGTGTGCGGTGGGAAAGGACGCTGGATGCCGGTGCGAAGCCAAGTGCGGACCATGAGGTGGGGGCTGGGCAGCCAGCTGGAGGGGGCTCTGGACCCGGCGACTTTGGAACGTGGCCCGGCATGGCGTGTGACACGTTCTCCCGTTCGCTCTCGGGCCTTTTCCGCTTAACCAGCGTGCGGATCGGCGCACTCGATTGCCAGACTCTGGTGGTGGCTCAGGTCATGCCAAAGTGCCTCAGGCCAGCTGGCTTCGTTCCAGACTCCTCAGCTGTGGGGACCCAGGGCCGGGCGGGGAAAACTGCACTTGCAGAATCACCTTATTACTTGCATTGTTTACTGGCTCAGACCGGATCTGTGGGACCAAGAGGGTCGACAACCAAGAGGAAGGAAGAGGCAGGTTGAGAAGCAGAAAACTGGGTATTCGTGGGTTCTAGAGGGCCACAGACCGAGCCTTTCCTGATTTACTCGGTGTCCCGCGTGTTGTTGAGCACTTGTAGAGCACAAGGGACGCAGGGTCTAGTCCGCTGTTACAGCCCGTGATCTGGGGCCAGAACACGCAGTCCCCAAACGTGGATATTCCTGACAGTGCAGCCCAGTCATCCTCCCCTAGAGAGCCTCGTGACGTCCCCAGCCTGGGCGACCACCCTCTCAAGCGCCCACTCAGCCCCTGGGCATAGCTCAGTGGTTGCTCATTTCGCTCTGAAATTCCAATTACTTTTCTTCATTTGTTGTCCTACTTGGTAGTTGGGGTAAAGACCGTGAATTTGGTTTCTCTGTGTCTAGGGCCTGGCATAGCTCCCGGGACACCACAGTCTTGCAGTAAGTTTTTGTGGAATATGTACGGTATTATATACATCCACCCCAAAGTTGTCATAAAAAGCTGTAGGCACACCGAAGGGAGAGTGGTTACAAGGGCGCTGGGGGAGCTGGGAAAGCTCTGCAGGATGGGGAACAGAAACTGGGCCTTTGAATCCCAGAAGCTTCCCAGGAGAAGTTAGAGGCGCTGCCCTGCAGGGGAGGCGGGGCACATAATCGAGGGACACTTCTCATTTTTGGGGACGTCTGGGATGGAGACTCAGGGGTCACGGAGGCCGGGTAGCTGAGGCTAGACTGAGAAGTCCCAAGGGCCCCGGGAAAGGGTAGGACATTAAATGGAGCACGGACCGGGTCTGGGCTGGGAATACCAGCTTCAGGGAGCACCGACGAGGGTTGGGGGTGGAGGACTAGCCAGGCGACGGCTGCCTCCAGCCAGGCTGCAGGAGGCGGCGGCTTGGACACGGTCGCTGGCATGGGGGTGGGAGCGAGGGGTCGGGGCAGGACCGGCTCGGTTAGCAACGGGGTTGGAGGAAGCGAGGCTGCTCTGACGCTCCCCGCGCGGACGGCTGCTTGAGTCCGACTGTTTGTCTGGTGTGGTTACTGACAGATCCCGAAGAAAGAGGAAGAAAACAGTCTGAAGGAGAAGGGATGAGGACACGGGTGAGACTTGGAAGAGT